AGCTGTCAGGCTTTAGATGGGTGACCCAACACCAGCTAACTAAGTCCTGCTGGACTGGATTTCCTTCTTGCCTCACACAAATGCTACTCTGCCAGCATTTGCAGGGACACTCATCAGAAGTAATTAATACAGTAGTTATCTATTATCAACAATGTTGTAGTAAACATGGTTCTCTTTATATCTTTAGATACATTTTTTTTTGTTTCCATGCTTTAAATCAGTGGTTTCCAACCTGTGAGCCATGACCCTTTGGGATGTCAAAGAAACCTTTCACGGGGGTCACATATCAAGTACCCTACATATTCAATATCTACATTATGATTCATAACAATAGCAAAAACAGTCATGAAGTAGCAACAAAATAATGTTATGGTTGGGGGTCACCACAACATGAGGAACTGTATTTATTTATTTATTTATTTATGTTTGGTTTTTCAAGACAGGGTTTCTCTGTGGCTTTGGAGGCTGTCCTGGAACTAGCTCTTGTAGACCAGGCTGGTCTCGAACTCACCGCCTGCCTCTGCCTCTGGAGTGCTGGGATTAAAGGCGTGCGCCACCAGTGCCCAGCCGAGGAACTGTATTAAAGGGTCACAGCATTAGGAGGTTGAGAGCCCCTGGTTTAGATACTTTGTTTTTTGGACCTTCCTAGTTTAATTAGGGTTGCTTGCTTGAGCACAGGTGGGGGTAAATTTATTGGAGTATTGAACAGTGGATACACCAGTGAAGAAAATGACTCTCTCTTCTCCAGCCTTTGAGTTTCTCCTCATCCAAGATGGATTGTCAAAATGCTGCATCTTGTGTAGGTCTGACAGTAACCTGAGCCTCTGTGAGTTCATGAGTACAGTGATAAGGTCATGTCAAGAAGTCCACAATTCATGGTGTTCTTGTTTATCCTTTGGCGCTTACAATCTGCTCCCTCTTCTGAAATGCTCAGAAAGTGGAGAGGGTGACAGTGATGTCTCTTTCAGAGCTCAGCCCTCAACAATAACACATTCTCAGAATTTCGCCCAGATACAAGACTACATTAACCTGTGTCTACTGCAAAGAGAAGCTACTCTGACCACACAGGAAGAACTATTCCAGGGGTATAAACATTCGTATTTAGAAAACAGCTTGACACTAGGTCCATTGAGAAAAACAACAGTATTGGGTTCTCTGCTCCCCGAAGATTATGACCTCCCAGCCATGAGATTTTTTTGACCAGGTTTACAGTACCAGGCATGAATCCTTTCCAATACAACAGGCCTCACATGCAATCAGAAACTAGTTAGCTACCCCTATTGCAGTGTTGCAATAATGGGTATACATCTAGCCTTGGGGGGTTTGCAGGATTCACATCTGGATAAAACTTTGTCTTTTTTTTTTTCTCGCAGGAGTCTGCATAATACATTCTAGTATTATGGACACTAGCCAATAGGGAGGAAGCTACTGTTGTGGATTATTAGTTTAAGGTGTGTTACATTTGTTTATGCTGTGGAATATTTGTTTAGTGATGCAAAGATGTATTGCATTCTTTTATGTTGCATTTGTTTGAATCTGCAAAGCTGTGCTACTACTTTGCCTGTCTAAAACACCTGATTGGCTTAATAAAGAGCTGAACAGTCAGTAGCAATGCAGGAGAGAGAAATAGCTGGGACTGCTAGGCTGAGAGAATAAATGGGAGAAATCTAGGCTTGAAAGAGGAATGGGGAGCAACAAAAGAAGGAAAGGAGGATGCCAGGGGCCAGCCACCCAGCCAGCCATGGAGTGTTTTATTTTTCTCCAACAATGGTAACTTTCTGCTGGTCTCTGAGGTTCACCCGGCAGATGTGGTGGATAAACAATATTCTTCTCCTATCTTCAAGAAATGTCAAGATAAGCACTTGTGTGGTTACCTGATTGGGGTAAAACTCTCAGCATCTGTGCTGCCTGGATCCTCAGGTTAGATACCCACAGAGCACACAACACTGGCAGCCCTGTCTGGTGCTGGTCTCTCTCTCTCTTCTTTGAGACAGGGTTTCTCTGTGTAGCCTTGGAGCCTGTCCTGGAACTTGCTCTGTAGCCCAGGCTAGCCTCGAGCTCACAGAGATCCACCTGCCTCTGCCTTTAGAGTCCTGGGATTAAAGGTGTGTGCCACCACCGTCTGGCTGCTGGTCTCTTTAATCACAGCTGATTCTTCAGCCCCAGCTGACCAGTACCAATTGCCCTAGGAAAGCAAACTTTCATTTTCGTGTTTTTGGTATCTTGTTAATCACAGCCACTTTTTTATCTCCCAGTGACCAGAACCACATATTCTTAATTCAAAACATCATATAAATGGTCCTGATGGGTGGAGATTCCCATTCAAAACACCTCATCATACAGAGGAGGAGGGAGAGAATGGATACCACAGCATTGTCCTCTGACACACACCACACACAATGGCTAAGACTGTCTCTGGCACAATGTGTGTATTCACAAGATGATTGTTAAATAAAACTGACAGGATCTGAATAGCGTCTTAAGCAATGCAGCGATTGAGAAACTTTACATTCCAGCCTGTCCTGTGGCAAGCTATCTAAGACTCAAGGCATGACTCATAATAGTAGGTAGCATAATTTCATAGGTGTCAAGTTCAGACACTTTAAAGTCAGGAATGAGAATTCATAAAACTTAAAGACTTCCCTGAGGCCTGTAATCAATCTATAGGAGTTTAGGAAAAGCTAATTATTTTTTTAAGGAATCCTTTGCTTTTTAGTTCCAGCCATCTTTTCTTGGTAATGGCACTTTGCAGAAAGTTTAGCCTTCTCAGAGCTTTAATGGCACAAGTGTGAATACATTCAGTTTCAGATGGTGAGCTTCCAACAGATAAAGACTTTGTGAAATGTATTTTCCCAACAGTGTAAAAAAAAAAACCCTGTCACTAATTACTAGTTCAGACAATACTATATTTCTTTTCCTAATACGCAAATTCACTTAATATGCAAAATAGTAAATTTGTATTTCTGGATAACTGAGTCATCTTTTATTAGAATATTAGGCAATTTTTTTCATTTACTCAACCAGATAGTTTATGTTTAACCAGCTATGCCCTTTGGATTTAGTATATTTACTTTTTTTTAATTTTCTTTTCCTGTTTTAATTCAGACTCAGTGTTCTCTTACCACCACTCCCCCTCGTGGCTTTGGAAATAAAGCAAGCCAGACTTGTTTCTGCCCGAGGTCAGATAGTATTAGAAACCTGTCGTTGTTTTCTACTGAGCTTTTCTTTGCTCCCATTTCATTATAGGTTTTTTATAATACAATAACCAAGAACAAGGGAACACAAAGAAACTCAACTAGATGGGTTCTTTTGTTGCTTTGTTTTTTAAGTCAAGGTCTCCATGAAGCTCCAGTTGGCCTAAACTGGCCTTGAACCTGGAATGATCTTCCTTCTGCCTTTGCCTACTTAGTGCTCAGATTACAGGCCTGAGCTACCTTGGCGGTCTGGTTTATAAATTCACTTACAAAGCCCTGGAGATAAAGGCTTAGAGTACAGTCTGGTGCTCATCCAAACTCTTTCCAAATTAAAGCCCTTTCAAATCCCTTGTAACAAACAACAGCCAATCCCTGTATCCTTAATATATGAACTATACATCAGAATCAGACAGTAAAAGAGAAGGTCCACAATGAGCGTGATGGATGTATTATTTTCAGATTGGCCCGCGGGATATGGATTACAATTCGAGACATACTTTGGAGAATAAAACATTTATCTAACGCGACCCCTCAGTGACTACTACCGATAAAACAAGTGTGTCTTTACTTTGCTAAATAGAAAGCGGTGTTAACGAAACTTCATGATGAACTTGAGAAATTAAAAGACAAACTCGTTCCAATGTCAAATCACCTCAGCCGACCCGAAAGCTTTTGGCGTCCCTCGCTTTGCATATAAGGCGACTCCGAGAAGAAACGAATGAAATCTAAGGACGCCAGAGTGCCGACGTTCATAGTAATAACTACAAGGAAATGTCTGAAGGGCCTGAGCAAAGACTCACAGACGCGCATGAAGGATTACAAGGTCGTTTTATTAGACCTGGAAGACTTGCCGGAGACAGAATATTCGGTTTGAATTTCTGA